TCAGTAGCTACCTTTTATTGTCAAATAGACTAGTGAAGGAGTACAGGCATGGAAGCTAATTGTTGAGCTGTTAAACACCACATCATTAAATCATGTTCTGCTTTGTTTGGATCAACAACTACATCCAAACATTCAACTTAAAACTGCAGCTTATGTTCAAGTGGGGCTTACATGTGGACAAAAACAGAAGTCACAGGATGCGTTATTTATATTTTCATCAATTTAGTAATTATTTGGAGAATGCTTTTCCAACACAAAGCTCTTCACATGAGGCCGTCAATCATTAACATAAAAACCACGTGAGGAATCAATAAAAGTCATTAAGATTACACCAGATATTTTAAACATAGAATAAAACCACACAGGACTTTTAGAACAAATAAGATTGCACATAAATAATCACTCACACATCCGTTAGTGTCAAAGTAAAGTGTTAAAAAGTGTTTAACCTCAGGGAGGATTCAGTTATTTTTCATTTAACAGCATCAGTATTAGAATTCACTTGTGTCAATATAGTCAAGCTATATCTCTTTTGAAAGCTTATTCCCACCTCTATACACGTATTATGTTCTAATAAACATTAAATATAACCAAAAGTAAGAATAAGTAGTCAAACTGTATATATGTTTAAAATATATATTGTCGTTTCTTACCTTGTCATGCTAATATTCTGGGGCAAATCACGTCTAATCCACACATGTGGATGTTTGTTTTGTTCGTTAGGGTCTAGAGAATAATTATATCCAGTTGTTTTTTCTTCAAAGTCATCCTTATAGTAGATATCCACTTGCAACAACATATTTGAGTATTGAAAGTTGCACAAACAAAAACAAAACCTGTTCTTTGCGCACTGTATGAAGAGGACATTTAACTGTTTAGCTAGCGTCACTGGGTATGTTCGTCTTCCTCTCAGTCTTCCCTTCAAAACAAGCCCATTCCCGGACTTTTCAGTGCAATGGTTTGGAAGGTAGAGTAAGTTGAGTAAAACAAGCGCACCTAGATTTAGCGCTCCATTCACATAGATATCTGTGCGTCATGACAGCATTGTCTTGACTACCATTGGCCGATTTGGATGTCAATCAAATCATCTTGTAGCCAATAATCTCAGGTTTCAGGCGATGTGTCGGACTTCTAGCTTCCTCCCACTGTTCCCGTCATATTTGAATGCGTAAAGAGGAAGACTGTGCCTTTTTCACGGAGAACACGCGCTATAACTATATAAATAATAGATTTTCTGCAAACATTTCAATATCTGGAAAAAATGCTATTTATAGCAAGATTAATAGCCAAAAAATTATATAAATGGATTTTTGGTGTAAAAACATTGATAATTTGCATGTAAAACACTTTTGCACAGTTGGCACAAAAATAGACCACTTGTGCCGAATGTGCCCATTAGTTACAAAAAAGCCCCCAGCATCAAAATAGTTCCACCTAAAGGTCTAAAATTTCATACAGGTGTTTCCAACAGCACGAACATCTGCTCTGGTGAGTTTGAACATCATACCATAAAGTATGTCTTCAGGAGAACCTTTTGAAATTGCCTTTTTTTTTTTCGAGACAAAAAAAACTAACTTTGACTCATGTTTGAGAAGCTGTAGTGCAGACTGTGTCCTTCCTAACAAACTCTAACATACATTTTCAGAAACTAGAAGGTGTTACCTTTCAAATGAGGCATCATAACACAAAATCAGACACAAGATGTCCACACAATAAGCATTTCCATTTGGGTATCATAATTCGAGAAGGAGCAGGCGAAATTAGGTCATCCTTAAAGGGTTAACAAGCCATACATTAACATTGACTCTCTCACACCTCAGCTTATGACGCAGAGGAAGTGAATGGAAAATGAACGGCTGCCATTTGCAATTGACAGGTTGCATGTGAAGCCGAAAACTATTGGGGTGGAAAATCAATTTTGTCAAGTTGCCAATGTGTTGCTTATGTTGGGTGTAATAGTGTGCGTTAGGCATCTCTTGCAGAAATGGCTGAGGAGGTGACGGCCCAGATTGGATGATACCTGGATGAGCCCGAGGAGTGGAAAGAGGATCATTTACACAGGGTGATATAAACTCTTTCAACTTAGTTCCACTTAAACTTGAACAACGTTGCTTCATAGACATAATATTTGCTATGAATAGTAACATGGCTGTGGTGACAAGGTCGTGTTTTGAGGCTAACTTACATTAAAATTCCACTCAAAAATGTACACACACATCATTAGCAAACCCTTAGGCATGAAACAAATATGGTTTTTCTGTGGCACAAAGTAGCTTCATTTTGTATTTTGGGACCCTCTGGTGGGTTATGGGCCTGAATCCAATATGTTGCAAGAAAAGGCTTAAAAATTCTTTATTCAAACCTCACCATGAGTCCTGTGCACTGCTCTCCTTGTTAGTATCTAGTGTTTATTGTATGGGTATCGAGTTAAAGCGGGTCAAGTTTTAGCCGAAAACCCTGGATCACAGACTTCACAGTTATCTGACCACAGTCTGTGCACCCTGCTCCTTGCCCGGCCCCACCTCTCTCCACCCAGACCAGACTCCGATGGACAGCTGATTTCACCATTTACAGACAAGACGAAACGGAAGAGTCGAGCTTCCCACAAGATTCAGAGAAAATCACAAGGAAGACCCGCTGGTTTTTAATGACGCAGAAAATATGATTCTTTATTCACGCTGTATGTGCTGCCAATAGCAACACGTGGCAATGCACAACCGTCTTTACTTTGAAAACATCCAAATCTATTGTTAGTTCTATGCATTTAAACAACCTTATACTTATTGTAAATTATTTAAATAGAAATCTTCTTATTTGATCTTCCCTTCTTAAAAGTAAGCCATCTCTGGGCTGCCTGCTGTATTTCCCAAACAACTGTGCGTTCATAAAAAGAGAATCACCAGGCACTGTACGTATTTGGCCTCGAGGAAGACGTGCATGTGCCTTTTTTCATGTACAGTCCTCATAGTGAGCAGCTGTTCTTGTTCATAGTCTCATTAACCTCACATTATCTGGGGGTTTCAGATAAAATATAGAATTCATGCATGTGTTCAGTGTAATAATAACATTCAGAGCACAGCGGTAAATGTGCAGCTCATAAGCATTGCTTCAAACTGTGATAATGACTGCTCTTTGATGTAAAGGCTGTTCTGGATGAAATGTAAGGTTTTAATGAATGTCAGTTTCACACTAATACACACAACACATACTGTTCTTTAACTCGGCATAGTGGGGTCTCACAAGTAATAACAGTTATTCATTTGTAATGAAGGTAAAACATTGGTATACTGCATCTGAATGGATCTTAACACGAGCAGAGTGAGTCTCATATTTGTTTAATTGAATTCTAGTTGGTAAAAACCTAAAATGTTTCTCTGATCACTATAACCACAAGCTGCATCAATCATCATCAGTGAAAGTGCGGCCTCTGCAGTTTTTGAAGAATGTGTCTGTATCCTCTCTGACAATGATTTCACCTGTTTTATTCAAATTGCCCCTTTTTCCACGGTTACATTGGCCATCGAAATGTGTAATTTTAGGAAGCCTTGGAAAATATCTATTAAAGTAATTATTGTTTATAATTGCCATTAAAGTAGAAACTGGTTATTTTGTCCAACTCTCACTGATGTCTGCTGTTGTTGTGTGCTTGGGCAAGACAATTAACCCCACTTTGCCTGAAGCCCCTGTTGAAAGATCAAGGCTCCTGTGGACTCACCACCTGCAGGAGGATCAGTGAGGGGCTGGTTCGTCCCCCCCCCCCCCGACCCAGAAATGGATTCAGGGGAAGAAAATGGATGGAAAAAATAGATATTTTTCTGTTCTTCTTCTCAGATAATAGATGTATAAACGACCAAAAGGTTTAACCCTGTAACTTTATGAGAGATAGAGGACTTCTAAAATCCATTACAGAAATTAATAAAATATGTTATGAAACATGTTGAAAAGGTTTGTAGGAAGCCAGGTTGCTATAAATAAAGTGTCATGGATTCAGAAATAGTGGGTTTCAACCCAAGATTTGTAATGGCTGTTTGCAGCAAGTAAAGGCAATGGCAAACTGTAATTATAATATATCTGTTTACAATTAGGAGTGCAGGCTTTACACAGATTCTTCAAAAGCCCAAATAGCAACAAAAAAAAAGTTTTATCAAAGTGATTACGTGAACATAACCTCTTGTACTGTCAGAAAAACATGACAGCCACGTTGCCATTTAAAGTAAACACACCGAAGGCAGTAAAGCAGAGCTGACAATTTCACTAAAAAGAGAGCATTTCAGACAACACACAAAAATAACCATTTGCCCTCCTGATGTGTCACGTTCTATTCACGGCAATATGTGAATGCTAACATGTATCTGTGTTGAAGCCTGCAACATCCTGTGATTGTTATTCCTACTTCTATCTTGTAAAACACCATGTGTGGGCTTGAACTCCAGTTGAGTCCAGAACTGTCTGTTTTCACCGCCAGTCCTTACACGTTGAATATTTTTTGTATCTGTATCCAATATTGTCCATATAAAATTACACTCATTTGAGCTTTTGAGGTGTGAGGACTTAAACTTGTTTTACCGGCATACTTTCTTGTTTCCTACAAACATTTGTGAGTCTCCTTGCCTTTTTGACGATTATTCCAACTTTCAAAAAGCCTGGATTGTATGCGCTGTCTAATGATGTTGTTGTCATAAAGCAAAATGCCAATAAGAAAAGCAATGCAGACCGAATTGCTTTTCTTATAATACTATGTTCCATTGGTACACGCACTTCACCAATATGTAATGTACTGCAAAATGTCCAGTCATAAAGATGTATAATAAAAATATCTCCAGCATCAATAGGATGAATGTGTAATATACAGCAACATATAAACAGTGCAGTACTCGTTATTTTATTGGTGTACTGACATTTAGGATGCCTTCCAATTGACAGTCTGTATTCTTTATGAGGCAAAGCTGAGTTTAAAACTATGGTAGAGAATATTAAAGTCCACATGATGCACTTCTTACCTTGCCAATGTTTCTGGGGAACGGAGCTCGTTGATTTTCAGTTACGATCATCGGAGGAACCAACAATGATCTCTTTGTTCTGTAGGGCTGCTTCTCTCCCACACCCAGGATGTCCTGCCAGAGAACGGACACGTGTCATTGAAACAATAAAACATCCCAATCATACACCTTTGACAAACCTAACTTTTAAATATTGTAGATAATACACTTTGTTTGGCCTATTATCCTTCGAGAGACCGGTTCAAGATTCAAGATTCAAGAATTTATTTGCCATTTGCAGTAAAAAACACATTGGAAAAACAGTATCAGGCGTATACCAGAGCTCTTGCCATGGCGCCATGAGCAGGCCATTACGGTAATCTAACCTTCTGGAGACAAATGCATGGATGAGAAACTCTAAGTCTGCTCTATACACAATATTTTGGATTCTGGCAATGTTTTCCAGATGGTAAAAAACTGATGATGTTACTGACTTGAAGTGGCTGATACATCTAAGTCTTAGTCATCATTGCTCCTATATTTCTGAACAAATTTGAAGGTTTTAGTAAGAGGGACTGGAGGTGACGGATGACGCTCTCTCTTTGTTTCTGGGGGCCAAAGACAATCTTTTTCAGTGTTGTCTGAGTTTAGCAGGAGAAAGTTGTGTTGCATCCTCGCACTGATTTGTGGGATGTAGTGAAGGAGTGATTCTACGGGTCCATGTTCTCCTGCTATCAGTGAGACTTAGATCTGAGTGTTTTGTCCGCGTAGTTGTGATAGGACACAATGTTTTTTGCGCTTTAACTTCAAGATACTGCAGTGAGCACAAAGATCCCAGACCCACAGAAGGACCGTGGGCTGGTTGTCTGGAGATGAAGAGCATATACAGTAGAGCCATAATGTAAAAGACACAAATACACTCAGCCCTGTACAGTAAGTGTTTGAGGAGAATACAAGAAGTGCTTCTTGTATTTTGGTCAAGTATTTTTCTGTTTCTGGCTCTTTTCTGCTCATGGAGGCGGCAAGACTGGGACTCCATCCAAGTTGTCCTGAGTTATTTCTCAGGGCTTACCCAACTGGGACATGTCCAAAACATGGCACTTAAGGGACCTCCACACCACAGTATCTACTGCAAGTCACCCTTTTCCGTCTCTCTGAGGATGCTGTTTTAGATCCCGAGACACGGTGGTGCCACGTTTGCAGAGTGTGAGGGCTGCTCCTGTCCTATGTCACTGTTATTATAAATGTATGTGTATGAGTAATGGATGCACCCTAAAGACACTGCAGTCTCTGGTTCCTCCTGACTCTCGTTCATTCAGTTTCATGTATGGTATGGTATGATTTTTATTTTTACAGGGACAAACGTACAATAAACATTAGTCAAAAGGAAAAATTTATTATATTGGGTTGTAGCAGAAGTGCAAAATTTACACCTGTAGTTCCTGAGCAGTTTGCTGTAAAACAGTGCATTTTACAAGAACTTGCTCAGGGGATGGATACATGACCATACATTTGTCAAGCTGAAAACACTTTGGAATCACAAATTTATAAAATGAACTTAGACTTAGACTTTATTGATCCACAAAGAAAATGACGGTGTCACAGTAGCTTGCATAGTATTTCATAATAACAGTACCAATCTGAAAATAATAATAACAATAATAATACGGTAATATTGTGAGAATAGAATAAACTGGATGCTGTTTCCTTTTCGTCTTTTCTTTTTAATATCTAAAAAGCTATTCTATCCAGCAACTTATCACGATTCTGTCAACAGGCTGAAATGTGTTTACCTCCGCTACAGGCAATGTACTGTAATTGTGAACCATATTTGTCTGTGTATAGGTCACGCATCTTGTAAAGTAAAAACAAAAAAAACAGTTTCAACCGGACGCAAGAAGAATGAATGATGAGGTGTTTTCACATGTTAGCTCGACCAGTTACTCAGTAGAGAAAGCTTTTAAGACATAATTTTTAGACTGGCTCCAAAACTGACTTGTACGCTGTAATTACAAGTCCACAAAAGCTCATTATTCAAATAAAAATGTCTGAAGCCTGACAACAACACACAAGTTGCCAGAGCAGACACCAAACGACAACACTTTGGAGGAAAAGTGACCTGGAGGTTTCGTGCAGACACATTTGCAAGTCAAATGAGTTCTCTTTGTCCTTCCCCTTCTATTGGCCTAAAGCACACTATTTTATTGACATATGCAGAGTGTGTCGGTTGGTGTATGTTCAAAAGTTGTATGTTTACTTTAGGGCTGCTGTTGTTGTCAGATGATCATTTGGGTAGGATTCTCAACCTGACAGAAAGGTGAGAGAAAAAAGTTTAAAAAGCAATGGTCAAGACTAATACTGTACCTCAAGGCCTCATTGTTTGAACATTATAAAAATTAAGATACACTTTGAGCTTATTTTCTTTATTTTACCAGCCCTCTGTTTTGTCAATATTTATAGAGATATCAGATAAAGCATCTACGACTGCACTGAAACATCTAAACTCTCTAATTAAGAAAAAAAAACCTACACAGACACCAGCAGAACATGCACACAGAATGCTTACTTCTACCAACACCCAAATAGTATGAAAAGATAATATAATGATCTTCAAAAATCTATTCACTGAGAGAGAGTATACGGTATCATCAGTATTTTACTGATTTTCATTGAGATTTTTTTTGACAATATTGAACTTTGAAGAACAGAAACATCCCTGGACCCTATCAGATCCAGCCTGCAGCCACCTCACCTCTGTGTGCAGCAAAGGTCACAATGAAAAGTAATCATAGACACAAGCCGACCAGAACAAGGCCTGGACACACCGTCTGCCCTTCCAAATGACCACTACGAACAAAGTCACCAGCGGATGACCCTGCAAATGTCAAAGCCACACCTGAAACTGGAGCTCAAATGGTTACAGATTATTTGGACTATGAGTGTGTAAAGAAGACACTATTATTCCCAAGTGATTGCTTCAGAAGACAGCTGGTGGACTTTTAAGCTCTACCTCCACAATCCTTTGGTCGATCTCAACCCAGGGATGAGAGCATCAATCTTTTCTGTGCAGTGTGTGGTAAAGCAAAACGGAGCTGGGGTATTTTTAGTGTCTGTATTTTGCAAGGGTTAGGGCTGTAGATTATGTAGCAAACTCTATGTGTTTCTTATTTTGTGTGTCACGGAGCTGGATTGATTGTAAGCAAGAGCGTCACATCGGGTTTGAAAGACAAGAGTTTAATCTCAGGATATGTCTCTGTTTCTGTGGTATAAAAGTGGTTTATATTCATCAAAAGATTCATTGAGATTTTATGAAATATATGCTTTTCAAGGTAGTCACTCTTCTAAAGGGGTCTTTTTTATGCCAAAGCACTTGTATGATAAAAAATATTGATAATTGTATAGCCCCGCCTCTTTAAAGGGATAGGGGTGCGTCTGGGGCATGGCTCTTTCCTTTGCATGCACATGGGACGCAAAACCATGAACTAGCCTCATTTCAGCCCTCAGAGATCCATCCATCCATCCATTTTCTTCCCCTTAATCCATTTCTGGGTCAGGGGGTTGCAGTCAGAGCTGCACCCAGGACACAGAGCACCAGCCCCTCACTGATCCTCCTGCAGGTGGTGAGTCCACAGGAGCTGAGATCTTTCAGTGGGGGATGTGGAAAGAAATAATAGTAAACCACTCAGAGTCTAACAATGGGCTTCAACTTTGGAATCTAACAAAAGTGAAACATAAAAATGAGACAGGATTTTTACTGTGCTCCAAAACTAATGGAAACAATGTATACATTTAAAAGGTAGCCAACGAAAATGTGCATATTCATTAATTTGTGGAATGAAAGGTAAAATATATCAGGCCATAAGAAATCAGTTAAGTTAGTTAACTTAGGCTCCGTCATTTCCTCTCCACGGGTGACATTTTGCTTGTATTATTCCTCTTGTGCTAATCTTTCTTCTTATCTTTCTCTTTGGACCCTGTCTGTGATATATTTTGCGATGTGGGTCCTTGTGATGGTAGAAGAAGAGAAGAGAAGGAAGCCATGCATCTTTAATGTGTGCAGTTCATAAATTACTGCCGGGCTGTCACCATTGACTCATCCCCAAGACATTTGTCGTATACTCCCCACTATCGTTAGGTTCAGTTGAGTACTAAAACTGTACTATCATTTATTATTTGTAAAGATAAATAGTCCCCCAACCCCTAACCCTATGCCAGTATATCAATTGCATTCACAACTGTATTTTTCCCATCAATCTGAAAAGTTTGAAAAATCCTGTACCAATGTTTCTGATTTATATGCAAGCATAGGTTTCTGTCATTGTCATCAACGCAAAAGCAACTGTGGCTACAATGTCACGTCCTTGTCTATTCTGCCATTTTCACTCTCTAAGCTATATTGAGAAGTGTCATTACTCATTTCCGACAGAGTGTTGGAGAGACCGGAGAGGGATGGACAGTATCAAGGCCAGCACTAGTTGGTAAGTGATTCAAATGGATTAAACCGAAAGATGTGCATGCGGCTAATCAGTCACCTTTCTCTAACAAACATCCAGAACCCACTGATAGCCCTATTAAAGCAGTCACACTAAAGTACAGTATATACACATACTGTACATCTGTCCTCCCGCCAAAGTGCATTCCATTTTCAGTGACATATTCAAATTATTCTGTGTCATAGAGAAAGCAACTGATCTAAATCTTTCTACTGAGTTATTGGTCAAGTTTGTTGGTATGAACATTTTTGTGGTTCTTTTGAAAGACAACATTTTGGGCTTCTTGGACTGACCACGCCCCCTCTCGCCCAATGGACTCTGGAGGAGGGTGTCCCATGTGTGGAACAGGAGGAAGGCTCCCTCGTCTCGGTTGATGCTGTAGTTGCCCCCCTTTCTGATCTCAATAGCCTTCTTGTTCCAGCGTTCGTATTTGTTATTTTCAATCCAATGACCGGGCCCCATTTATTTCATCCAACATCCACTCACAATTCCTTGCCTCCTAAATTTCCACATGCCCACATTTTAATCCAGAAGTTGTTTTTGTGAGTTTATTATCTAGAGTGAACCCATTGCCAGTTGTTTTCAAAACTTGTGTTTATCATCCAGTGCTGACCTGAAAAAGACATTTGTGTGAAGATCCAT